CATTTAAAATTAATTATAATTTTCCCCTCTCTTTGAGAATAGTTGTGGCTTATTGACAAAGTTATCCAAGAGTGTTATGACATATTGTCACCTAGTGTTCCTTCATTTTCAGTGAATCACAGGACTAAGCTCTACAGTATAGGAAAAGCTATGTACTTACAATTAGCAAAGCTTGCTACATACAAAAAATTTCATGTATAAAATTTTCTTTTAGAAATTTCCTCTCTTGTGGTTTAAGGCAACGAAGACTGTCATATACAAGGCAATGAATGACAGCTGTAAACAAAAATATAATTTTAATTGGAATTCATTTGAAACCTCAAGAAAATTATTATATCAAGTCCTAATTTGGACTTATATTCACAATGGCAAACAAGTTTATGAAGATCTAAGAGAATAGGAGGCAATGCCCTATATACCTGCACAAGTGTATTGGCTTGTATTATCTTGATTCCTTCTGTTCTTCCGTAAAGACTTGTTGATAGGTGTGTTCACAGTGACGTGTTGATGGATTTGTTCACAGTGACATGTTGATGGATTTGTTCACAGTGACTTGTTGATGGATTTGTTCACAGTGACTTGTTGATGGATTTGTTTACAGTGACTTGTTGATGGACTTGTTCACAGTGACTTGTTGATGGATTTGTTCACAGTGACATGTTGATCGATTTGTTCACAGTGACTTGTTGATAGATTTGTTCACAGTGACGTGTTGATGGATTTGTTCACAGTGACTTGCTGATGGATTTGTTCACTAGTAGTTGTGAGCAGTTACCCAGGCAAAACATGCTTGAGAAGCGTCAATCAAGGCTTTCAACGTCAGTTCATATTACATCGGCATCATTTTTGCGGGGATATTTACTTGGGTCAACCCAGATTGTGGGTACTTGGCTTGGTGATAAAAAAAATATTTTTTTTTTTGCTCTACTGTATCTACTTCAGGGAACAACAAACACACATCCTAACATACATACAGTTACCTTAATGCTTATCTTGTGCAAAAGTGACTGTGGCTATACAACACCTTTTAAGCAGGTTCCACATATTTTCTTTGACTTTATTTTTATATAACAGTTCATCATTTGTGTTTTTAGACACTTGTCTTGACAGCCTCAAGCTTCAAGACTAATAATGTACATTTACTCGATCATTCTAGACACACACACACACAAAAAAAACACACACAGAATTAACTCTGGGAAGATTATGTACATGTTTGCCCAACTCAGTCATGCTCCACATATATGATGATGAAAAAATGGCTCAAAACATTATAAAATGCTACTGTTTATGCCAAAACCTATTTCAATTTACAGTAAAAACATCAATATGAAATTTGAATGGTAAAAAGAATTTACTTAAGTTAAATGATTTATGGAAAGTTTGTCATAAATAATCGCTAGAAAAGCTGATCAAAGCTGAAACGTTTCAGATAACATTTAAGAAGAGAGTTACTGTATTTGAAAACTGTGTACAAAATATAGTAACATTCCCTGGAACAAAAATCAAGTTATTCTATATAAAAAGCTACAGTACTGAATTTTATCAAATGTAAACATACCCAAGACTTAATTTAAAATGTTAATTTGCATTGTTTCATGCCTCTGCACTTGAATGCTATATTTTATTTGCAAAATACAGAAGGTATTTAAAAATGGTTTGTAAACATGTGAAGGTTCCTTTTAACACTGCTGCACCTTTTATTTCATTATCAGTTTTGTTCTGTGTACCTTGGAATAATCCCGTCAGGCACATTGGAGTGGCATTGGATCAAAGTAGAGCATTTTGGATCCAACTTATAGTCAATGTTATCAACACTAGTTCAATGTTGTGAGTCTGCTAGGATGAAGACTGACAAATTCCCATAGTTTGGGGGGCAGGAAGCCTGTATTTAGGCTTGTATTCAGGTCCCCCCCCACCCCCACTTTTCCCAAGGTCAAACTACTGACCTTTCCCAGGATGCAACCCCACAACAATTGTCTAAATCCTGGGGTACCTATTTACTGCTAGGTGAACAGAGGCATCATGTGAAAGAAAATGTACCCAACCATTTCTGTCCTGCCCAGAAATCAAACCTGGGACCGTGAGTGCGAGTTCAGAACGTAGACTACTATGCTACTGTATAACAAATAGTCATAAACAAAATATAAGAACTAATGATACTGAATGATAATTAATATGAATTAAATTTAGTTGTATGATAAGTAAATATGATACATAATAAATGGAATACATTTATCACAGTCTGGAACTCTGACTGTACTGTATATTCAGATGGTAATCAATCATTACTGACACTCTATAATGTCTTACAAAATGCAGCATGTAAAGAGGCACTATATCTTAGAAATGCTGCTACAATACTCTCGGAAAATTCATCATCAAATTTGTGCATACAAATTAGATTCCAGAGATTATTTTCCAAGCTCTGTAAAACCTACGAAAATGTTGACCAGACCACACACACTAGAAGGTGAAGGGACGACGACGTTGCGGTCCATCCTGGACCATTCTAAAGTCGATTGTGTCAACACACAATCGACTTGAGAATGGTCCAGGACGAACTGAAACATCGTCGTCCCTTCACCTTCTAGTGTGTGGTCTGATCAACATACTTTAGCCTCGTTATTGTGACTCATCGCCTGCCTATGAAAATGTTGAATGAGCTACTACGATCCTGTTACTCATATTTACATATTTAATAAAGCACTGTCTATTCAGCTGACTTAAGAGTAAATTGTGCAACTAATGAATTTCATTAACGAGGATATACTTAAGAATTTTATATCATACATGTTTTATATTTTGTTGTACCTAATAACCACGCTCACACTCCGTTACAGAGCAGTTTGTATATTTTGTAAACACCTCTTTAGAAGGTAATCTACCATTAACAAGATAAGTATATTGTTTTAATTATTCACCTAATTGGGCTTAATTTAACCTATGCCAGGTAGAGTTAAGGAATATTAGATATATTTACGTTAGGTAAACTAGCTAGGTTTGACTAATATTATAAAAATTTATTAAATTTATATACTCATTCACTAATTAAACCTTTTAAAATTAAGAAAAAATATTGGCTTGTTAAGCAACTCTGGCTATCAGGCATGACTAAAAATATATTGTATAAACACAGAGCACTGTACTTGTATATATAAACACGCTGATCACTGTACCTGTACAGTATATATAAACATGCTGATCACTGTACCTGTATATATAAACATGCTGATCACTGTACCTGTATATATAAACATGCTGATCACTGTACCTGTATATATAAACACACTGATCACTGTACCTGTATATATAAACACGCTGATCACTGTACCTGTACAGTATATATAAACATACTGATCACTGTACCTGTATATATAAACATGCTGATCACTGTACCTGTACAGTATATATAAACATACTGATCACTGTACCTGTATATATAAACATGCTGATCACTGTACCTGTATATATATAAATACACTGATCACTGTACCGGAAAATTTCAGGTGGAGCAAGCATATACGTGTGTGTGTGTGTGTGTGTGTGTGGACCAGAATTTGATGCCAAAAACACTAAAAAGAAATTTGCTAGATATTAAAAAGAAATCTTTATTTTGGTATCAACATGTGCACAAAGGCACTCTTTAATTGCTTGCACTAATAAAATCATAATAGTTCATGTAAAATAAAGAATAGCAAATACAGTAGCATATTTAATGCAACCTTCTTTGTTGTGAAGAATGTTCTTTATAAACCTGTTTGATTGGGAGTACACTGTTCTATATATCCTGTATATATAAACAGTAATCCACACTTCAGTACTGTGAATATAAACACGCCATCTATCTAAAGTATCGGAGCACAATTGTCTACATTTTTATGGAATGCATTCAGATGTTCTACCGCTTGTAAATATTGAGGCCATACAACCATCATGGGCCAGTCAGTAGTGCTTGTGCCTGGGGAGTTCAGGGTCACGGATTCAATTCCATTGTACGGCATCAGTATATATTCAGATTCATTACGTTCTTGTGAGTTCAGTGTTCAGTTCTTTGAAAATCAAAGACAGCTACCACTACTCATCACATTATCAATCTTACCATATTTCTACTTAGGTAGCCAGTAGCATGTCTAGGAAAAAATAATAGGGGGGGGGGAGATATTTGATGGCAAGCTGCTAGCTTCCCGAGGCTGCTAGTGTGTGACCCCTCTGGTAAATTCAGGTAAATGTCTGCATAAGTAGTACTCCAGCAAGGTCTATAATGTGGGGTGTATAACAGTGAGCTAACTTTGATTTCCTTCCTTTCATGATTACTTGTGGCTCTGATAGTGACCGAGTGCTGTCCACGCAGGCAGGTGATCACACCCTGATGATCCAGGGTTCAATGTATGTATGTACGTACGTTTTGCTAGGGATTAAAAGCAGTACTTTTTTAACGCATTAGTCATACAATGGAATAAGTCACTGACTTGACAAGAGATTGACTTGGAGATCAACATTTGAAGGTGGGATCCTGGGCAGTTCTCCTGGCTGAATATTTGTTGTCAGGTCACTGGCCTAGTAGATAGCACTACAAACTCACGATAATCAGGCCTAGGCCTAAGCATTTACGCAACCACTTACAAAGCATGTACACCTTTGCTCAATCGTGATGGCTTTGTTTATATTCATCATGCAGTTTACAAACTTCAACACTTCACAACCTAAGGTTATTATTATTATTACAGACGACTTTGCAGTGTTGTCTATAACAATGTAAACAAAGCTGCCATGACTGAGGAGAGATGTACACGTTTCGTAAGTGGACAAGTAAATGCTTGACACGTCGTCACCCTAGATCTATGAACTCTGTATAATTCACTATACAACAGAGTATTTCAGTTTGGTGTTTTGTGACCTTGTGAACTCATATCAAAATACTGTATATAAAACACAAGATTGATGTTTACGTAATACATAAAATTAAAATGGGATGGATAAAATTAGAAAACATCACGAAAAAGAATAAAACTTGTTTGTTTCTATAATACAGTATAATAATAAATAATTACTATAACAAAATATGTGGGTGGTCAGAGCAATGCTATTAGCACATATTCTAAGAAACACAAATCTTGCTCTAAGAGTTTTATGCAGAGGTAATAGAGAAGTCATGATCACTGTACAGTACTGATTTTGCTATAAAACGTTATAGAAGTACCGCAAAGAATTATAACACGGCAGTTTACAAGTAAACTTGTTCTGCAACCTTCTAGGAATAGTTTTACACTTAACTTGTTTTTGTTTAAAAGTTTACAAAATGTTAAGTTTATATCCAAAGAAATATTGTACACCATATAAGCTTTCAAAATGTGTTGTAGCTTTCTATAAATTGAGGTTTTCTTTAAAGGCAGTTTAGTTTTTCTTATAGTATTTCCATTATTCATGCTGGAGAAGCAGCATGTCACTTTCTAGTGTCTCCAAAAATTACAACTTTTTTGTAATTTCAAGAGTTTAAAAGTCAAGATCCCAACCACTGAGTTCATCTCCTGGAACATCAACATCTCGAGGGTACGAGTCAAAGTTGCTGGCATCAGCAGGACCTTTAATCTGTAATGTTCAATGGATTTAAAGATTTTAGTAGTCTGTCCTGTGCTTAAAGGTCACTCACTCTTTTTATCTAAATGCTTTGTTATAATGAGAATATTCAAATGAAGTCACATCATAATCCTAAATTCTTACTTTATTATCCAAAAAATTATCAAAACATAACTGATTCTGTAACAGAAACTGTAATTACTATTTTTTTTTTAACATCCACATAACCTTTACATTTTAGCCATTTCTGAGAGCAAGGATCTTTGTAAGCATTCTGGCAGTTATCCTGAGACTCCACTTGTACATGGCAAAATTTATCTGAAATATAAAACATTTTAGGCATTTGTCATTACTTGTGGTTGATTTGCTCAAGTTTTTTTATGCAACCTGCCTTGGGACCAGGCCTCCTAAGTGCTTGTTGGATCTATGAACCTATCTGTACTTGCTGCCTGCACACCCACATAGCAATCACAACCTGACTGATCCATTAACTCTTAGGGGAACTCTTCCCTCATTGATGTTGGTTTTGATGAGGTGAGGGAGTTCTTGAGCAGTTGAATTCTGGCCCTCAAGCTGCTGTGGCAGCATGCAAATAGCCTTGGCAATAGGCTTAGCACTTTCTTTGAATAATTACATACTGCTTAATTGTTTCGTATGAACTTTAAGAAAGAAAAGATTTGAATCACTTGCAGTTTGTTCCTGGTGCCTCCAACATTCCACATAGTCATACGAACTTGCCTTTACCTTATAGTGGCCTGTGCACCTCCTGTTCTCGTATCTTAGGCCACTTTTACCTTCAGCAGATAGACACTTGGGGAAGACGGGTCCCCAGCCTCATCATCCCCATTTCTACAGTGCAGAGGACCACGTCTCTCTTATCATTGAAAATCTAATCACTGTAATTTGTTTTGTAATTGAGCCCACTAAAACATATTTAGCTGCATCATACCCCTGTATGAAAGCCCGAGGTTTGCTTCCATATACAGAAAGAGGTTTAAGGATGACACAATTTTTTTTTTTTAGAATATAGTAGCCTATTTCTCATTGTCTTAATACTTTGTACACAAATTGGCGCCAAGAAAGCGGGTGTAGTTATCCTTACCTTCGGAATTATTGGCGGTTGGAGAGATCTTGTTCGAAGTCCATCCCAGTCAAAACCTAGGAACCACCTGTCAACAAAGATGAGGATGTAATTAAGTCATTTATGCTTCTGTAGAAATGAAAATGAGAAATACTGAGTAAACAAATAATTATACACTACATCATATATAAAATGTGTAAGAATATTTTTTACTTGGAAATTGGAATAATTCTGATTGGAAAAGACATTGGCAATGGACTGGAGTGTTCTCAATGAGCCTTTATGGCGAAGGGTCAGACTGTTTACAAGAGTGCATATTGTGTGACTTGGTAAAAACATCCAAGATGTGTTCGCTCACAAGAATCCAATATGTCTATGTCACATTATTAATCACAACAGGAATGAAATTTGTAAAAAAAACAAAAGGAAGAGGAAGTCCATAAATACTAACTTGTGTTTTTTAATATCTTGTATGCCATTACGCTGATATCCAAGTCTTTCTGCGGGACTCTCGCGACAGAGCCTCTTGATAAGTGAGATAGCATTGCGGCTCACGTGTTGTGGAAAGTCGATCATGTCAATACCTTTTAATATTATGTTGTATGTCTTCATAGGATCTGAAGCCGTGAAAGGTGGCCTGTAGGAGAGAATAAAAGGCAGTCACTACACAAATACAATATAGTACAGCACTATAAACAATGGAGCCTCGATTAACGAATTTAATCCATTCTGGCACCGAGCTCTTCATGTGAAATGCATGTCTTTCGAAACAAATTTCCCCATTTAAAATAATGGAATTAATCCGTTCCACCATGTTCCCGGACAAACCATTAATATGACATTTTATAATTTAAATATAATACTGTACATGTAATTATTACTGTATAAATGTTTTGTTTTACTGTTTATAATTGTACATGTACTGTACTTTACCTTATGAAGAGTCGTTGTTGGCTTGAGGGAGATGATGGGTAGGTGGGGAGGAGGAGAGGGGTTATGGTGTGGAAGGAGAATCCACCTCTGAGTCAGGCGGACTCTCTCTTTGCAAATTTCACCCCACTGGGACCGGGTTGTGGTTCACTATCATTTACTCGTCTTTTCTCTACCTTTCCAAAGAACATATCTACTGACAATTGCTTTTGTCTTCATTTTAGGATGTTCCTAAAATGAGACAGCATATTGTCATTAAACATGTTCCCTCACCGTGTTGTCATTGCTTTATTAGGGTGATGCTTTTCCAAGAACACGGTCACCTTTTTCAAACGTTCCCAACACTTCCCTGATCTCACTGGAAGAGGCGGCATTGCTATGATTTCCTTCTTCAAATCTACAGTAATTATGTCTTTTTTTCCTCTTGACAACACTTATCTTTAGCAAGCCAACCATTTTTGTCCCACCCAGGAATCGAACCCAGCATTATCTGATGCTGGGTTCGACTCCTGGGTGGAATCTAATATCCAGCCCATCCTCCCGTTTTAATAGTAAGTACTGTATTTATAGTAACAATGAGGACCATAGTTTATATACCTATGTACAAAGAAATGAGAACGTAGAAATCTGAACTATTGAGTTGGACAAACCAGAAAACTACTTTTTACTTGTGTTGCTTTTACAAACTAAACTACCTATCCTAACCTCCCTAGACCTAATACACAATATCTGAGGCCTAATACAGTACATATGTGTGCTATACTAGGCCTAGAAATATTTAAGTTTGTGTTTTAGCTTCATTTATTTATTTTAAAAGAATTCCTTACTAGTCAGTATACTATTATATAAAAGCTAAGAACGTACGAATTCTGACTATTGATGATGGTCACAATAGGTACTGTCTAAACAGGAGGATGGGTTGTAATGTCTGGAAATCCACCATACAGTAAACACAGTAGGCAAATGATATATTCTTTGTACAGTATTTAAAGTTTGTATTAAAATATATAATGGTCTACATTACTCATGTTCAATGATCAGCGTTCAAAATATTGTTTTAAGCACTGCTTGCCCATAACCTACATTATTAGCATATACCACATGAAAACCTCTTCTGAGATCCTGATAATTATAAATGTGGTATCAATTTTGTAAGCTGTTCATGCTACATTACCACATACTATAGGGCAGATTTTTCTAGTAAATATATGTAAAACTAGAAAAGGTACACAGAGAGTGTAAAAGGCCTGGGAGAGAGTGCAATTCCCCTCCACTTCAATCACTCTCCCCACATTCCCTTCATCTCCTCCATTTTCTCCCTTCTCCCCACCCTATGCTTCTCACCTCATCATCTTCTCACCCTCCCCCTCTCTTCCCTGTCTGGCTTCCAACCTTGAACACACACACATTTTATTTTACTGTAATGCTAAATTCTCCTTCACTTTCATGGGAAGAAATCTAGGGTGACATGGGGGGTTGTCACTATTTTGCCTTACCCTCTTAATATGACCAATAGGACCAATCCCAACCAGCCTATGTCCATCCTTTAATCCAGATAATTCCCCTTGCAAAGCTAGGTGAAGCTAGCCCGAAGCCTCGGACAGACAGTCATTCTTTCATATAGATGATTTACTCTTGTGGCTCCTTCGAGACATGCCAAATAATATTTTGATACTGAACTACACTGTAATCTTTATAAGAATATACAGTACTGTATATTTAAATGATTTTCTTTGTAATTTTAGAAATGATTCAGTGCTAATATTGAATTATATTATTGTATAATTAGCTGTATTTCCAACTGCTAAAACCAAAAATGTTTTAGCGTACAATGAGTTAAAACACCATTTTTTTAATTGGTACAATATGTTACTATATGATCTCGAAATACAGTACTGTACAGTACTTACGTTCCAGTCAGCAGCTCGTACATAAGGATGCCAATAGACCAGTAGTCAACTGCTTTATCATGGCCCTTATTGAGGATGATCTCGGGTGCCACGTACTCCGGAGTGCCACAAAATGTCCACGTTTTGCTGCTGGGTCCAAGCTTCTTGCTGAATCCAAAGTCAACCTAAAAATAACAAAATCTACATTATAAAGCAAAGATTTTTTAGGAAGATTTTGTAACAATTAAAACTTGACCACCGAATAATATCCACGCGGGGTGTTGGTAGCACAGTGACAATGTTCTGGATTCGACTGATGATCCAGAGCTCAATTCCCAGGCAGGTCACAAATGGTTGGGCACCTTTCCTTTCACCTATTGGCCAGTTCATCTAGCAGTAGCTACAGTAGTTACCTGGGAGTTAGGCAACTGTTTTGGGGTTGCATCGTGAGGAGGGTCAGTAGTTCGACCTTTGGGGGACGTCAATACAAGCCTAATACTGTATATATAATGTATATACAAATGTTCAAATTCAATAATTCAAATGTTTATTCAGGTAAAGTACATAAATACAAGATGTGATACAAACACTGATGGATTTATAGATAGAGCTAGTACATAGAATGCCTGAAAGCCACTATTACACAAAGCGTTCCGGTCAGAAAAAACACTTAAGACTAAAACTTAATACTAATTGAGATTAAAGTATAAATTGTATTGAGAAAATATTAAAATAAAAAAGGGGGGGAACATGGCAGAAAAATAGCAAAAATACAATTTGGTCGACAAACAGCATTTGATTAAAAATAGCAGACATGGGTTGACATTTTAGAGGTAAGGTAGGTTACAGGGAGTTAATTAGGTAGTGCTTCGTTTTTATCTTAAACTGGTTGAGAGAGGTACAGTCTTTAACATGATTGGGAAGATCATTCCACATTCTTGGTCCCTTGATTTGTAAAGCATTTCTAGTTTGATTAAGTCGTACTCTTGGAATATCAAAAAGGTATTTGTTTCTGGTGTGGTGCTCATGGGTTCTGTTACAACCTTCTAGGAAGCTTTTAAGGTCAGGATTGACATTACAGTTCAGCATTTTATTTATTTATATATATATATATATATATTTTTTTTCTTCTTCGAGGATGTGGGTCCCTTTAATTAAACCAGTGGTGGTACCCCTAAATAAATTAAATAATATATATATATATATATATATATATATATATATATATATATATATATATATATATATATATATATATATATTTATTTAATTTATTTAGGGGTACCACCACTGGTTTAATTAAAGGGACCCACATCCTCGAAGAAGAAAAAAATAAATATATATATATATATATATATATATATATATATATATATATATATATATATATATATATATATATATATATATATATATATATATATATATATATATAAAATACACATGAGAAGATGTGCAGTGACTTAATATCTAACATATTCAGAGATTTGAGTAGGGGTACCGAGTGCTGTCTGGGGCCAGAGTTGGATATTGTCCTAATAGCAGCTTTGTGCTAATAGTAGCAAGCTATTAGCAAGCTATTAGCAAGCTTTGTGCAAATAGCAGCAAGCTATTAGCAAGCTTTGTGCAAATAGCAGCAAGCTATTAGCAAGATAATAGAAGCAAGCTACACAAGCTTCCTGTCCTGGACAAAATTAAATATACCTTAATATAACATGAGTTCAAAGTAGGCAAAACTCATACTTACTAATGCCAGGTTTTTAACCTGTCTTCAGACTTAATACATCACTATTTTGACTAGAGCGTAATAATTCTGAGGGTTTAGCAACATGACCAGCACTGCAATATTAACGCTCCTTCAAAATAATAAACATCGGTTAGGCAAAATCGCATCAAATTTGATGCTTGTGAAATTGTGAGAGTGGGTTGAGGTGCATAAAATACAGTATAAATGTCTATACTTTTCAGATTGCATACACAGCATACATACTGACGTATAACATTAGAACATGTCATATAATTAAACAATTGCAGCTTATTAAAACTACAGTAGATACTGTACTGTATAAATTTGCAACTATAAGACTAGTTCATTAGAGACTTAGTGTACAAACTATCCCAACCTCTATACTACTTAAGTTAATAAAATTTTAACCTGCAAACATGACATGAGCAGGTTAAATATGCTACAGTTGATTGCATCGTTAATTTCCTGACAGTTGACTGATCTTAAAGATTGAAATTAACTAGGAGAAAAATGATACAAGATAGGATTTGTGTTTTGTGTGCTGGGTTTTCTGTAGTTGAGGAGAGGATGGATGCCTTTAAAGTTTATCGAGATACCCCTCCTCCCCCACCCACCCCCCTTCACCATCAACTTCCCGTTTCCCAGGATGCATCCCAGAACAGCTCACAGGATGAGTATGGGGTGCACAATAAACTACTGCTCATAGGGTGCGTATGTGGTGCACAATAAACTCCCATTCACAGGATGAGTATGGAGTTCACAATAAACTACCACTCATAGGATGTGTATGGGGGAGAACAATAACGCCAATCAATCTTGCCCAAAACGCTGTGCGTATTAGTGGCTTTAAGCATAGTATATACTAGCTCTATCTAGAAATCCAACATTCTGCTTGTAACTCAATATGTTTGTATATACTTTTACCTAAATATAAATTTATTTATTTATATTATTTATTTATAAACTAGACCTCTCTGACAGCAAACAAAAAAAGATTGTGCTTACTAACTCCCAGGTACCTGTTGATCGCTACCATGTTAAAAAGAGTAGAACAATAAAAGGAATCTATGGGTATTTGATAAATATACATGCTGCAAAATTTCAACACAGAGCACTAGAAATAATAGAATGGTGCTCGGTTGTTCATTATTGGAAGAAACTAGAATTAGAATGGTAGAAAATAGAGCACTGGACATCAATAGATAAGACTTACCAACTTTGCATATCCTGTAGAATCCAGCAAGAGATTTTCTGGTTTGAGATCTCTGTAAATGATATTCTTGGCGTGTAAATACTCCAAGGCCTCAACGACACAGGCGGTGTAAAATCTGGCTGTGAGGTCTTCAAACCAACCACGATCACGCAAGAGTGTCCATACTTCGCCACCTAGACATGCTTCCATCATCATATATACATACTTATTGTCTCGGAAGGTCTTGTACAATCTGTAGGGTGATGTACATATTATAGTATGACTCAGAAGGTCTTGTATAATCTGTAGGGTGAGGCATATAATATAGTATGACTCTGAAGGTCTTGTAGGACCTGTAGGGTGAGGCTTATTATACAGTATGACTCTGAAGGTCTTGTAGGACCTATAGGGTAAGGCTTATTATACAGTATGACTCTGAAGGTCTTGTAGGTCTTGTAGGACCTATAGGGTGAGGCTTATTATACAGTATGACTCTGAAGGTCTTGTCGGACCTATAGGGTAAGGCTTATTAAACAGTATGACTCTGAAGGTCTTGTACGACCTGTAGGGTGAGACTTATAATATTGTATGACTTGGAAGGTCTTATACAGCCTGTTCTGAGCACTGTCAAATATATTACCCAGTAGTTACATATTACAGCATTTCCATACTGTTATAAACCACTCAAAGATGTTACTGTTTCATGCTATAAATGGATCGTCAAACATTTTCATTTACATAAAGGGCTTTACCTTGCTACAAATGGGTTACGAACTGCCATCATGATTCGCTTCTCTGAAAAAATATGTTCTTGTTGCTGTGTCTCAACAATGTGCTGTTTCTTAAGGCACTTGAGGGCAAAAGTCATAGTCTTATCATGGGCATATTGTACTAGTTCCACTCGTCCGAACCCTCCGACTCCCAGCGTTGCCACAACGTCCAGGTCGTCCAGGCGAATGTACGCGTATTCTGAAAGAAATGTAGAAATAACGAACTTTTATACAGTATCAAATTTTCCAAAATATTGTACATTAATTGCCCCTATTTGCAATACATCATTTTGTGACAAATTTACAGCACAGCAGAACAATAAAATACAATTCAAATTGCATATCTTCATTGATCTAAAACAGTATGGAATGATGCCACTTGCTAAATTGTTACAGCGGTGAAAGCACCTATACTCACTCACCTGATGTTACTAAACCGATTCTTAGAATCATACAATGTCTACGTATAACGTAACAAATATTGTTAAGCTTTTCAAAATAGCAGGCAAATTTGATGCATTTATGGTGAGAATATTGGAAATAGTAAGTTAATTTTAAGTTCTAAACTTATATTTTTGAACCTATCACTGAACAAAGTGCAGCATAATAATTCAAATTTCTACATTATTCTATATACCATTGTATAAAATATTCATATACTGTACATAGTAAAAATAGGAGAAGTGTTATACTAGAGCTCAGAAAATGATTACCACAGCAATGTTGTGACTGACCTGCCACAGCATCAACATTATGTGGTCCAGTGATGGGTCTGGGGACCCCTCGCGTCTCGTCACCATAGTCCTTGTCCCGCAGCTCTGACAGGTCACCAATAAGTTGAATAAATGATCTGCAACAAAATATTGCACTAGTCACATTTAATTATTTAAGTAAATTTCATCTAAACTTTAAAGAACAATTAAGTTAAAATGTATGAATTTCTTAAATAATTACTATACATATGAAGGCTGTGTCTGACATTTAGAATAAGCACAAATAAAACTATATAAAATAAAATGTCTAGGAGGCCAGATGCTTGGGATAGCTTCACCCAACTTTTCAACACGACACATGGTGGGTGTGGGAGCACCCAAAATGCATAATTCTGGGTTGGCCCAAATGCCATGCTTTAAAAAATATCTGCATCTATAGTGATGCCCCTGGGATTTTCAGGAAGATTGCAATGATATCACTGATATTTTTTCTGTAGAGTTTTGATGCCAACTTCAACTGTTAACTCACGATTTTTCATGGTTTACTCAAATGATGAATGTTAATTCATTTTGGCTACAGCATTACATTTCCTGAGACAGAGATTAAGATAAAGAGAGGAGGCTAGGGAGAGGGGGGGGAAGGGCAGAAGGAGGATGAGTAGAGGAGAGAGAGATAAAAGAATTAGAGAGGTGAGAATGAAAGAGCAGAGAGGGCAAAGGGGAAGCAAGACCCGGGCACCACTGGTTACTCCTACTGTATTTAATTACACAGTTCTGTACAACTGTATCGTATTTATAAAAGATTTACAAATTGAGAAACAATGGAATGAAATTGGTTTCACATTTATGATCCTGCCATAAATACTTTAATTAATTGATTGATAAGTCTTTCTCTGGCATTATCGGCAAGTTTAGTGGTTCAGAATAGTGTAAATACAATCAAATAAAGCACATGCAGACGATGAGTCATAATAATGTGATTGAAGAGTGTTGACCAAACCACACACAAGAAGATGAAGAGAGACGATGACGTTTCAGTCCGTCCTGGATCATTATCAAGTTGATTGTGTGAAGTCGAAAGCACAATCCAGGAAATAAGATTAATCCATACTGATTCATACACAATCGACTTGATAATGGTCCAGGATGGACCGAAACATTGTCGTCTCATCTTCTGGTGTATGATTTAGTTCTCATATTTTCAAGCCATGCTATTTATTTTTATTTTTATTTTATGTATATACAGTATATACAAGAAGGTACATTGGGTTTATGAGAGTACATAACATTGATGTTTTTTACATTCTTGTAAAGCCACTAACACGCATAGCATTTCGAGCAGGTCCTTAATCTAACAGATAATTTCATGTAGGTAATTTGTAGCAAAATTTAAAAATGTTGACAGATGCTTGTAAGAAAATTTGAAGAAAATTTGAAGGTACATTATAGTAAAATTTGAGGATTATCAACATGTACATTATATCCTAATTTGAGGATTATTTGAGGATACGTAGTAACATGTGTCTGTGGGATTTTTCTGGCAAGGTTAGCACCAACTGATGAAATGAAGCATTTAAATTCAGTTGCCATTTCTAGATCTGTTGCAGGTGTATAACCATCCTTGGAGAGTTTTATCTGCTTGTTATGTGATTGCTGTTTAGATCCTAGGATGTTAGAAATAGCTTTCCATGTGCTTTTCATGTTTCTTTTTTCTTCTTTGAATCTACTTTCATAATAGGAAAGTTTTGCTCTTCTTATTATACTGGTAAGCAATGATGAGTATCTCTTAACTACTTCTTGTGTAACTAGGCCAATCCTAAGTTCTTTTTCATATTCATGTTTCTTGTTGATTGTTTTAAGTATGCAATTGTGAGCCAGGGATTGTTTAATCTTTTGGCAGTTACTTGCTTGGTGAGGAGAGGACAGTGAGTGTTGTAGAGGCTTAGAGTTTTGGAAAGGAAGATGTTTGTTAATGAATTTATATCCTGTGTATTATTGAATTCAGATTCCCAGTTTAAATTGTGAAGTGCATTTGTGAGATTGCCTATTGCTGTTTCACTGTGTAGCTGGAAGGTAAGTTTCTTGGTGTCTGGTGATGTTATGTCCATGTTTGCTGTGAGGAAGGTAGGATAGTGGTCAGTTGTTCTGTCAGTGATTATACCAGATGTAAGGGGAGCTGTTATGTTAGTCCATAAGTAATCCAAGGTCTTGAGATCTGTTATCTCGAGATGATTTCGGGGTTTAGCATCCCCGCTGCCCGGTCATCGACCATGCCTCCTTTTTGTTACACACACCCCCAGGAAGCAGCCCATACCAGCTGTCTAGGTACCTATTTACTGCTAGGTAACAGGGGCATCAGGGTGAAAGAAACTCTGCCCATTTGTTTCCGCCTCCACCGGGGATCGAACCTGGAACCTCAGGACTACGAATCTAAAGCACTGTCCACTTAGCTGTCAGGCCCTAGCTGGTAGCTGGTAGTAGCGGATGTAGTAGGTAGTAGTAGTAGTACAGTAGTAGTAGTAGTAGTAATAGTAGTAATAGTAGTAGTAGTAGTAGCAGTAGTAGTAGGTAGTTGGTAGTAGTGGATGTTTGAGTGATTCGGATGGGCTTGGTGATTGTGGGGATTAGCATACAGGAGTTCGTGCTGTTTAGGAAATAATCGACTTGGGGCTATTTTGTCGACACAGGTCAATATTGAAGTCACCTCCTAGAATGTGTTATTATGACTCATTGTCTGCATTAAAGTTATACATTCCCTGCAATGAAAAACAACAAATAATCTGTGGGAGGCAGAGAGCCTCTTTGATAAAGGGAAATATCCTCCCCACTGGTGAAGTGCGAGAGTATGTTTAGTAATAACAGAAGAATGAAGGCCATTACAGAAGGCCTATTGGCCCATACATTACAGCTCCTATTTATAGCTACCCAAACCCATTCATATGTATCTTTAACCTGCTATTAATGTTCTCGATAATCTCCGAGATACTTAAGCGTGTCCTCCCAGTGGAGGACACTATTTTTGTGATACTGAACACTGAGGGTAGCAACACAGTTGTTACAGTAGGGAACAGGCGCCACAGTGAACAAGTACAGTGTTATTTAGTGACTGATATCAAAAGAAACAAGCACACTCTCCCAGTGGTGTGGCATAATAAATCTGGGCATATGATCTCTTCCCAGTGAGCACAATATCCAGGAGCAATGTCATTTCAACGCCAAATTAGCGCTGATAACGTTGATTTATGGAAGCAACGCCTCGCTTTGATATTGTGGGGAGCGGGTCGTGGTGCCCTCTAACAGTGCGACCCCAACTCTGCAGTCAAGACAGAGGTGGCTGTTTTAATCTCTGGGTAAACTTGTGAAATGTGAGGAAATGCCTTTATGGGATTAAGTTGGCTTAAGTTGACATTCTTGGCAATCTCATAAGTTTGGTTCTTGCCAGACACACTGACAGATTCTGAATACCACCAAAATTGTATTTGATAAATGCCTCTTAAAACCAACTACTCTAAAATTAAAAAAGAAAATAGAGGGGTGCATAGAGTGAAAAGCAAGCTTCCAGTGATTGAAGTTCACTACTGGAATTTCTATTAACAATTTTTTAACAACCTCTTTAAAGGAAGATAGCTCAGCAGTTAAAACAGAGACCCACAGCGGCTAAAGCCAGGGGAAAGACGTCCTCCCCCAATAGATGACAGCATTAGATTCAGAGCTACACGTATATACTGCAGCACAACCCTCATGGATGGAAGATTGCTCTTTAGAACATAAAACTTCATTGGAAGTACAATATTGGCCTTAATGCATGCAGAGTGCATGCAGCATACTAGTTTCTAAACTCACAAGCTTTTAATTGAAGAATGAATAACTTACTCTCTGTCCAAGGTGAGGCACTCCACCCCAGGAGCCATGGCTATGACGCTGGCAGTGCGGCACTCCTCCCTCAGCAGCGCCTGTTCCCCAAAGTAACTGCCCTTCTGCAGCACTCTGATCTCTTCCTCGTCACTCTTACCTGCAAATAGTCACAATAAGAGTGAGTAATTAGTTAAAGAATATTGATATTGAAAGTCATTAGTATATGCTACTGTACGAGTGTCTTCAAATGGGTCCTGTGGTGCAGCGGTTCATGTCCTCGACTCATAGTTGAGGATCCCGGGCTCGATTCCCTGGTGGCACAGTAAACAGGTACCCGGGAGTTAGGCAACTGTTGTGGGTTGTATCCTGGGGGAGGGTCACTAGTTCCACCTTGGAGTGACGTGGACCAGTCTAAGTACAGTACAGTACAGTACAGTACAAGCTTCCGGTCTCCGACAGTGAATATTAAATAAAATAATAATAATAATAATAATAATAATAATAATAATAATAATTTATAATAATAATAATAATTTATAATAATAATAATAATTATAATAATAATAATAATTTATAATAATAATAATAATTTATAATAATAATAATAATTTATTTAGGAACAGTACATACATAGTTGCAGCGTTACAGTACAAACATCCTGTTAGATTTATAGATAAGAGGTAGTACATACAATACCTAAAGCCACTAGTACGCTTAGCATTTCGGGCAAACCACCACAGACAACTAAAAGTTATGTAGTTTTTCCAACCTTTGAAGAGTAGTGTAAATAAAAATATATATATAACAAAAAAGGGCCAAACAACATTATGTTAAAAATGCACATTCTGTTTATTATTGATGAGGTGTGGCCTTATAATAATTGATGAGGTGTGACCTTATAATAATTGATGAGGTGTGGCCTTATAATAATTGATGAGGTGTGGCCTTATAATAATTGATGAGGTGTGGCCTTATAATAATTGATGAGGTGTGACCTTATAATAATTGATGAGGTGTGGCCTTATGATAATTGATGAGGTGTGGCCACAATATAGAAGAAGCTGATTTGATTTAGTTCATATTATATTATACACTCCATGCCTATCCTCTAGGCGATAGTGGACCCCATACCCATCCTGTGGGTGGTAGTGGACCCCATACCCATCCTGTGGGTGGTAGTGGGCCCCATACCCATCCTGTGAGTGGTAGTGGGCCCCATACCCATCCTGTGGGTGGTAGTGAGCCCCATACCCATCCTGTGAGTGGTAGTGGGCCCCATACCCATCCTGTGAGTGGTAGTGGGCCCCATACCCATCCTGTGGGTGGTAGTGGACCCCATACCCATCCTGTGGGTGGTAGTGGGCCCCATACCCTTCCTGTGGGTGGTAGTGGACCCCATACCCATCCTGTGGGTGGTAGTGGACCCCATAGTGGACCCCATACCCATCCTGTGGGTGGTAGTGGACCCCATACCCTTCGTGTGGGTGGTAGTGGACCCCATACCCATCCTGTGGGTGGTAGTAGACCCCATACCCATCCTGTGGGTGGTAGTGGACCCCATACCCATCCTGTGGGTGGTAGTGGACCCCATACCCATCCTGTGGGTGGTAGTGGACCCCATACCCATCCTGTGGGTGGTAGTGGACCCCATACCCATCCTGTGGGTGGTAGTGGACCCCATACCCATCCTGTGGGTGGTCGTGGACCCCATACCCATCCTGTGGGTGGTAGTGGGCCCCATACCCATCCTGTGGGTGGTAGTGGACCCCACTCCCATCCTGTGGGTAGTAGTGGACCCCATACCCATCCTGTGGGTGGTAGTGGACCCCATACCCATCCAGTGTGTGGTAGTGGACCCCATACCCATCCTGTGGGTGGTAGTGGACCCCATACCCATCCTGTGGGTGGTAGTGGACCCCATACCCATCCTGTGGGTGGTAGTGGACCCCATACCCATCCTGTGGGTGGTAGTGGACCCCATACCCATCCTGTGAGTGGTAGTGGACCCCATACCCATCCTGTAGGTGGTAGTGGACCCCATATCCATGCTGTGGGTGGTAGTGGACCCCATACCCATCCTGTGGGTAGTAGTGGACCCCATATCCATGCTGTGGGTGGTAGTGGACCCCATACCCATCCTGTGAGTGGTAGTGGACCCCATACCCATCTTGTGGGTGGTAGTGGACCCCATACCCATCCTGTGGGTGGTAGTGGACCCCATACCCATCCTGTGGGTGGTAGTGGACCCCATACCCATCCTGTGGGTGGTAGTGGACCCCATACCCATCCTGTGGGTGGTAGTGTACCCCATACCCATCCTGTGGGTGGTAGTGGACCCCATACCCATCCTGTGGGTGGTAATGGACCCCATACCCATCTTGTGAGTGGTAGTGGACCCCATACCCATCCTGTGGGTGGTAGTGTACCCCCATACCCATCCTGTGGGTGGTAGTGGACCCCATACCCATCCTGTGGGTGGTAGTGGACCCCATACCCATCCTGTGGGTGGTAGTGGACCCCATACCCATCCTGTGGGTGGTAGTGGACCCCATACCCATCCTGTGGGTGGTAGTGGACCCCATACCCATCCTGTGGGTGGTAGTGGGCCCCATACCCATCCCGTAGGCGCTTACCTGGTTGATACCTGGTTGATGGGGTTCTGGGAGTTGTTCTACTGCCCAAGCCCGGCCCGAGGCCAGGCTTGACTTGTGAGAGTTTGGTCCACCAGGCTGTTGCTTGGAGCGGCCCGCAGGCCCACATACCCACCACAGCCCGGCTGATCCGGAACTTCTCTTAGAAAACCGTCCAGTTTTCTCTTGAAGATGTCCACGGTTGTTCCGGCAATATTTCTTATAGTCGCTGGGAGGACGTTGAACAACCGCGGACCTCTGATGTTTATACAGTGTTCTCTGATTGTGCCTATGGCACCTCTGCTCTTCACTGGACCTCTGATGTTTATACAGTGTTCTCTGATTGTGCCTATGGAACCTCTGCTCTTCACTGGACCTCTGATGTTTATACAGTGTTCTCTGATTGTGCCTATGGCACCTCTGCTCTTCACTGGACCTCTGATGTTTATACAGTGTTCTCTGATTGTGCCTATGGCACCTCTGCTCTTCACTGGACCTCTGATGTTTATACAGTGTTCTCTGATTGTGCCTATGGCACCTCTGCTCTTCACTGGACCTCTGATGTTTATACAGTGTTCTCTGATTGTGCCTATGGCACCTCTGCTCTTCACTGGACCTCTGATGTTTATACAGTGTTCTCTGATTGTGCCTATGGCACCTCTGCTCTTCACTGGACCTCTGATGTTTATACAGTGTTCTCTGATTGTGCCTATGGCACCTCTGCTCTTCACTGGACCTCTGATGTTTATACAGTGTTCTCTGATTGTGCCTATGGCACCTCTGCTCTTCACTGGACCTCTGATGTTTATACAGTGTTCTCTGATTGTGCCTATGGCACCTCTGCTCTTCACTGGACCTCTGATGTTTATACAGTGTTCTCTGATTGTGCCTATGGCACCTCTGCTCTTCACTGGACCTCTGATGTTTATACAGTGTTCTCTGATTGTGCCTATGGCACCTCTGCTCTTCACTGGACCTCTGATGTTCATACAGTGTTCTCTGATTGTGCCTATGGCACCTCTGCTCTTCACTGGTTCTATTCTGCATTTTCTTCCATATCCTTCACTCCAGTACGTTGTTATTTTACTGTGTAGATTTGGGACTTGGCCCTCCAGTATTTTCCATGTGTATATTATTTGGTATCTCTCTCGTCTCCTTTCTAGAGAGTACATTTGGAGAGCTTTGAGACGATCCCAATAATTTAGGTGTTTTATCTCGTCTATGCGTGCCGTATATGTTCTCTGTATTCCCTCTATTTCAGCAATCTCTCCTGCTCTGAAGGGGGAAGTGAGTACTGAGCAGTACTCAAGACGGGACAACACAAGTGACTTGAAGAGTACAACCATTGTGATGGGATCCCTGGATTTGAAAGTTCTCGTAATCCATTCCGGTAGTGGGAATGATTAGAGACTCATAATGGACTCAGAAACGAAGCTTACAGGGAAGGTTAAGGGAAGGTAGCATTATAAAAGGATACTCACCGGGTATTCGCTGAGTAACGCGCACCTTCCCCGACCTGAGGATGTAGAAGGAGTCTCCACTGGTGCCCTGTCTAATAATGTAGGTCCCAGGGGCGTAGAAGTCCTGTAGAAGACATTATATGACAGTTAAGCTCCTCAAATGTTAGGCTACAGGATGAAGAATAACAGGAACCTATATGGTACAATAACGAGGTTCTCTGAAATAAAGAACGTTGTGATATTATTTAACAATATGAATAGTCAAAGAAATAACTTTGGGCTGAAGCATAGTGTTTTTTTTAATTTTTTTTTATTATTATTTTCTACCACAAACGTGGCCACACATTTACAATGCTAACCAGCATATATACATTTTCTTCTGTCCTCCATGGACAGGGTTAGAGATCAGTTAAACATATAGTTCAGGGATTTATTGAACAGCATAGTGGTCTACGTCCATAGCTCTCAACTGATGAACCCAGGTTCAATCCCCAAGGCAGGCCACATTTTTCCTTTCATCTCATGCCTCTGTTCACCTAACACTAAATAGACACCCCCCAGGAGTTAGACAACTGTTGCATGGTTGCATCCCGAGGAAGAACAACAGTTGGCCCCTAGAAGATAGGAGGACCTCAATAAGCCAGGCTTCCCGTGCCTTGGGAAGCAATAAAATCAATTACTTATTTTATTTTTATTTTATTTTATTTTATTTATATATATACAAGAAGGTACATTGGGTTTGTGAGAATACATTGGATAGTACAGTATTTACATTCTTGTAAAGCCACTAGTACGCGCAGCGTTTCGGGCAGGTCCTTATACGTAAGGTCCTTATACTTATACGTAACCAATGTCATCTCAAACCCAAATGGACGACTTGGCCCCATAACTGTGGTTTAAGAGAAGCTAAACAGCATGCAGCTGTTGTGGGTGTAATGACACCTGTCTGTCCTTGACAGACAGGATAATAATTATATTAGAATACCACAACCGACCCTGTGAGGCGATTACAGATAGGTATTAATTCCAGAAGACTGTCAGTGATTCTTGTTCCAGCAACTGTGCACTCCAGTCCAGCAGTGACTAGGGATATTCCAGTCCAGCAGTGACTATAGGGATATTCCAGTTCAGCAGTGACTAGGGATATTCCAGTCCAGCAGTGACTAGGGATATTCCAGTCCAGCAGTGACTATAGGGATATTCCAGTCCAGCAGTGACTATAGGGATATTCCAGTCCAGCAGTGACTAGGGATATTCCAGTCCAGCAGTGACTAGGGATATTCCAGTCCAGCAGTGACTAGGGATATTCCAGTCCAGCAGTGACTAGGGATATTCCAGTCCAGCAGTGACTATAGGGATATTCCAGTCCAGCAGTGACTAGGGATATTCCAGTCCAGCAGTGACTAGGGATATTCCAGTCCAGCAGTGACTATAGGGATATTCCAGTTCAGCAGTGACTAGGGATATTCCAGACCAGCAGTGACTAGGGATATTCCAGTCCAGCAGTGACTATAGGGATATTCCAGTTCAGCAGTGACTAGGGATATTCCAGACCAGCAGTGACGAGGTCTTGACATGGTCTTGTCAACTCATATCGGGTCTAGGAAATCATCCCTGTATGGTATACAGGTGTAAATGAGCCCTGTATGGTATACAAGTGTAAATGAGCCCTGTATGGTATACAGGTGTAAATCATCCCTGTATGGTATACAGGTGTAAATGAGCCCTGTATGGTATACAGGTGTAAATGAGCCCTGTATGGTATACAGGTGTAAATGAGCCCTGTATGGTATACAGGTGTAAATGAGCCCTGTATGGTATACAGGTGTAAATGAGCCCTGTATGGTATACAGGTGTAAATGATCCCTGTATGGTATACAGGTGTAAATGAGCCCTGTATGGTATACAGGTGTAAATGAGCCCTGTATGGTATACAGGTGTAAATGATCCCTGTATGGTATACAGGTGTAAATGAGCCCTGTATGGTATACAGGTGTAAATGAGCCCTGTATGGTATACAGGTGTAAATGAGCCCTGTATGGTATACAGGTGTAAATGAGCCCTGTATGGTATACAGGTGTAAATGAGCCCTGTATGGTATACAGGTGTAAATGAGCCCCGTACAGTGGATCTATGTATAGTGAACAATGCGCCAATTAATATGCCTCAATTTACTCTAATGAAGGTTATAATCTTAACAATTATAGGGCGGGTTATAATGGCTAACGATTTTACTCAATGAAGCAAAGTTCGTTATTTTTAATCAAGTAGCAGGTTAGATATTCGGAACACTTTATCAAGGAGATATAATTCACAGCAATTCTGTGTATACATTTAAAATCTTTTAGACAAAATACTATCTTTAAATCCGCACCATCATAGGCTACTGAGAAACACGCAGCCTAGTTTGGATTTAATAGTTCTGTTATTGTTTTAATTCCCTTGTAAATCTTAATTGATAACTTTAGTCCTCATCTTGCTTCCTGTGCCTCTTCAATATATTCCTGCCTCGGAGCTCGTGTCTGTTCAAGTAAGGTCATTCAGATGTACATTTCCAAAAGATAGAGAAGGTTAACGATATTTCTATCATCTCTCGTTCCTGGTTTGGACTACTTATCAGTGATCTAGGGAGACAGATCAAAACTTCTTCCCAGCACGATATCCCTACATAATTTTACCCACATAAAGATAGCCTCAAGAGCGTAGCCATGACCCGTGCCACTGGTGTTACAGGAGAGATGGGCGAGGAACGTGGTGCTGCTGGTGCTGACGCTGCAGGTGTCGACGTGGGGCCACACCCTGGCCGGAGCCTCCACCAGGGACGGCGAGAGGCTACACTCCGCCCTGCTGGAGCTGACCACGGTGCTCAGGGGCCTCAGGGGCGACCTGAGGGACGGCTTCGACCACCTGGTGAGCGAACTGCAGCAGGAGCGACTCTCCCGGGAGGAGGTCACTCATGTCCTCAGATCCCAAGTTGACGATAACCGCAAAGGTGGGTAAGACCTTCCTGCTCCAGACACCACCACATCTCCTCTTTCTTTCCAGCTTTCCAGCCCAACCATTTGGGCTGGACGGCAGAGCGACGGTCTCGCTTCATGCAGGTCGGCGTTCAATCCCCCACCGTCCACACAAGTGGTTGGGCACCATTCCTTTCCCCCCGTCCCATCCCAAATCTTTATCCTGTCCCCTTCCCAGTGTTATATAGTCGTAATGGCTTGGTGCTTTTTTTCCCCTGATAGTTTCTTCTTTTTCTTTCCACCTTTCCAGTACTATTTTCACCACCATCCATCCTAGCTATCTTAGTAACGATGAATTTTTTTATTAATGTGAAACCCCGGAAGACACGAGGCTTGGCCACAACCACCCTATGTACTGCCTGTACCACAGACCATCCACCTTGCAAAGTTTGCTGAGGCTAATCCCCAAGCGTGTGGCCGCCCATTACACAATCTCTTACACAGAAATGTATATCATGACCTTGGAAAGAATGCCACATTTTGAATGAGAAAAATGTAATACATTTTCCTACAGCTATAGAGAATGTTGGTGAAGAGTTGAAGCTGGTGACGGGGGGCGGTGGTGGGTGCCCCTGTGGCGCCGACGGTGAGGGCCACACTGGTGAGGGCGGCGTGGAGGGCGGCACCAACCACGCCACCAACCAGTCTGGGGAGGCCGCCCACTCTGACGGACACCCCACACACACCATAGGTAAGTTGGGGCCACCCTCGCCTCACCTGTGGGTCTGGGGGGGATACCATGTTGCAGATGGCGAACCTTCAGCTATTCTCTGGTGCAGGTCGGCTTTGTTGAGATGTGAGAGTTTTTTGGTGATGATGTTTTTTATGTTCTCTAGGCTGGGTTGAATTGTTTTATGTATCACTGGATGATGAGTTGCCAATTTAGCAATTTCATCAGCTTTTTCATTTAATGGGATGAAAGCAGAGACACACACATATAAAGGCAAGACCAGAGAATCTCCACAACTAATTACTGCCTTGAGTGGCGTGTGAGCCAGGCGTCAGGTGCAGGGGTAGTGAGGCTGGGCCACCTAGACCCTCACCCCTCACCTCAGCCGCCCCTCACCACCCCCCCTCACACCTCAGCCGCCCCTCACTACCCCCTCACACCTCAGCCGCCCCTCACAATGGTGCCGTACCGTTTTCTGTTTAGAGTCCTCTGGCTTACTCGGTTATGTTAGGAGAGGAAACTTTCAATTCACGTTTTTCATGATGTTTTGAAACCTTAGGAGACCTTCCTGCCCTCACCTGGCGTGGCCACCCTGACCTGCCCTCACCTGGCGTGGCCACCCTGAACTCCCCCTCACCTGGCGTGGCCACCCTGACCTCCCCCTCACCTGGCGTGGCCACCCTGACCTGCCCCTCACCTGGCGTGGCCACCCTGACCTGCCCCTCACCTGGCGTGGCCACCTTGACCTGCCCTCACCTGGCGTGGCCACCGTGACCTCCCCCTCACCTGGCGTGGTCACCGTGACCTCCCCCTCACCTGGCGTGGCCACCCTGACCTGCCCTCACCTGGCGTGGCCACCTTGACCTGCCCTCACCTGGCGTGGCCACCCTGACCTGCCCCTCACCTGGCGTGGCCACTCTGACCTGCCCTCACCTGGCGTGGCCACCCTGACCTCCCCCTCACCTGGCGTGGCCACCCTGACCTGCCCCTCACCTGGCGTGGCCACCTTGACCTGCCCTCACCTGGCGTGGCCACCGTGACCTCCCCCTCACCTGGCGTGGTCACCGTGACCTCCCCCTCACCTGGCGTGGCCACCCTGATCTGCCCTCACCTGGCGTGGCCACCTTGACCTGCCCTCACCTGGCGTGGCCACCCTGACCTGCCCCTCACCTGGCGTGGCCACTCTGACCTGCCCTCACCTGGCGTGGTCACCGTGACCTCCCCCTCACCTGGCGTGGCCACCCTGACCTGCCCTCACCTGGCGTGGCCACCTTGACCTGCCCTCACCTGGCGTGGCCACCCTGACCTGCCCCTCACCTGGCGTGGTCACCGTGACCTCCCCCTCACCTGGCGTGGCCACCGTGACCTCCCCCTCACCTGGCGTGGTCACCGTGACCTCCCCCTCACCTGGCGTGGCCACCCTGACCTGCCCTCACCTGGCGTGGCCACCTTGACCTGCCCTCACCTGGCGTGGCCACCCTGACCTGCCCCTCACCTGGCGTGGCCACTCTGACCTGCCCTCACCTGGCGTGGTCACCGTGACCTCCCCCTCACCTGGCGTGGCCACCCTGACCTGCCCTCACCTGGCGTGGCCACCTTGACCTGCCCTCACCTGGCGTGGCCACCCTGACCTGCCCCTCACCTGGCGTGGCCACCCTGACCTGCCCTCACCTGGCGTGGCCACCCTGACCTCCCCCTCACCTGGCGTGGCCACCCTGACCTGCCCCTCACCTTGCGTGGCCACCTTGACCTGCCCTCACCTGGCGTGGCCACCGTGACCTCCCCCTCACCTGGCGTGGTCACCGTGACCTCCCCCTCACCTGGCGTGGCCACCCTAATCTGCCCTCACCTGGCGTGGCCACCCTGACCTGCCCTCACCTGGCGTGGCCACCCTAATCTGCCCTCACCTGGCGTGGCCACCCTGACCTGCCCTCACCTGGCGTGGCCACCCTGACCTGCCCTCACCTGGCGTGGCCACCCTAATCTGCCCTCACCTGGCGTGGCCACCCTGACCTGCCCTCACCTGGCGTGGCCACCCTGACCTGCCCTCACCTGGCGTGGCCACCCTGACCTGCCCTTACCTGGCATGGCCACCCTGACCTGCCCTCACCTGGCGTGGCCACCGTGACCTGCCCTCACCTGGCGTGGCCACCGTGACCTGCCCTCACCTGGCGTGGCCACCGTGACCTGCCCTCACCTGGCGTGGCCACCCTGACCTGCCCTCACCTGGCGTGGCCACCTCACTCTACCTCTCCTACAGTGTGCCCGCCGCCTTTCCTCCTGGTGGGGTCTCACTGCCTGGCACTGCTACGAGAGAGGACGCCGTGGGAGGCCGCCCGCGCCCGGTGCCACAGCTACGCCCTCAGTGTGGTGGGCGTGCGGGCGGGGGCGCGACAGGTCAGCGGCGACCTGGTCGTCCCACACGACATGGACGCCTTCAAGAGCTTTGTCGCCTCCACCGACTTCAGTAAGTGTGAGACGCGCGCCATTAATGTGTGTTGTTACTTGATGACTTTCTCCTTAGACATTTTCCCTTGTAATGTTACCCCGTACAACCGAGTCACGTCTTCTCTCACCGTTTGTACTAAGTTATCATCAGTAATTCACTGGGGACAAGAGACTCCTCACCACTAACTACCCAATCCGTCCAGCTGTGAATAGTTAATGGCAGTAATCAGCTTAACTGCGAGCCCAGACCTCTACAGGACCCATTAATTACCCCCTTGACTCCTGACTGTCTCTCCAACCACTTGGGCTGGACGGTAGAGCGACGGTCTCGCTTCATGCAGGTCGGCGTTCAATCCCCGACCGTCTAAGTGATTGGGCACCGTTCCTTCCTCCACCCCTCGGTCACATCCCTAATCCTTATCCATCCCAAGGGGCTACATTGTCGTAATGGCTTGGCACTTCCCCCCCCCCCCTGATAGTTCCCTCCTGACTGCTCTATACACAGCCATTCCTTCCCTGTTATTAGTATTTTATGTTCCAGGCGGCGCGCCCTCTGGACGGGCGTGGGTGGGAGGTTCGACGGAGGGTTGGGGCGGCGTGTGGGCGTGGGTGGACGGGTCTCTGATGAAGGAGCTGCCTTGGCTGTACTCCCAGCCGGGCCTGGAGGGCGGCCTCCTGGCCGTCGACAGTGACGCCAACTTCCACACTGCCAGCAGGCGGGTGGCACTCTGGCCCATATGCCAGCTGAGGTAGTGCCACCCTCCTCCACCCTCTCCTTCCCGTGCCTCCACCACCGCACCACCAACACTCACCAAGTCACCCAAAAGGCGCCAACAGCTGCGAGTCACCAGTATCTGCTCTTCAGCAACAAGGCCAAAGACTGGGGTCGCCAAATGCACTTAAGCCACCATCAGAAATTCACAAGTCGCGCCACCAGCCTATTATGAAACGATAATTCACAATTTATGAAATTCCCTTCACCTTGAACGGAATATTCTCACCAAGAAATACAGATCAAACTCACCAGAGAAAAAGTCAAATTAATCAGGGAAAACGGAGCAATGTCACCAGGTCGAACAGTAGGGGTCACTGAACTATTATGGAAAACCCAAGTCGTGACAAGAAGGCGGACGGTTCACCAGAAAAAATAAACACGGTCCCTACCCAGTGGGCACACTATCCAAGAATAACGTTGATAACGCTAATTCAACAACGTGGATAACGTTATACACTTGGATAGTGTGACCAGTGGGCAGTGTGACCATGTTCCATCAAGCTCTCCAGTCCGACCTAAAGAGCAATTTACACCGCCATCTTGATTCTAGCGATGCCAATGTTTCGCTTCAAATGATGTCACTCTTGAGATCATATTGATGTCACTAACGTTATCCTACCCAGTGGGTACAATATCCAAGACCAACGCCGAATCATCGATGCTTCAAGTGAGGAACCAACGCCACTCCAATGGAACCAATGTTATTTTTAAATATACAAGAGTTCTTACATTGTTGTACAGCCACCAGCACGTATAGCGTTTCGGGCAGGTCCTTAATCCTAATTTTCATATGGAATACGACCCGCCAAATTGTTTAACAACCCAGGTACCCATTCACTGCTGGGAGAACAGAGGCTACAGTTAAGGATTGGCGCCCAGTCATTCCGGAAAGGATTGACTAGGCGGACTGACTGGTTACGTTGAAACAAGTCAAACAAGTCACGTCAGTCAGTCCTCCCTGGATAGCTGCTATGACTAGTCAATCCTGGTCATGCCACTGCCTTGATGCTAATCATGTCAGTGTCTTAATCCTAGTCATGTTAGTGTCTTACTTCTAGACTATCACTGTTTTGATTTCAGTCATATCATCTTAATAATTAATTAAAGGGTCCAACCAGAGTTTTCAACAATTTATTAGTTTTGTTTCTAATACTACAATAAAGTTTAAATTTTAAACTCCATTTTGAGCTGTATTTGAAGGATACAGATAATTCTTAACACCTTTTTAAATCACTGACGACAGTAAATACATTGGCAGCAATGTTCAAGTCTTACCAATTGATATTTTTGTGTTTGGTTTACCTTGAAAACATTACAAAATCGATTAATTAAAGTAATTGGAAAGTGTATAAACAGAGTTATGTACTGTAAAAAGGATATTCTTCAGGATTTATGATGTTTACTTGAAATATATTTGATCTTTTCAATGTTACAAAATAAATAACACTTCAGTGATATTGGTTTAAACGTTTTAATTAGTTTATTTAATGTATAACTCAGTGTTAGCCGTTACTAATACTTATGATTTACAGACTTCTATAGTGAAATAGTATAATAAGCTTTTAGTCTTAAGTCATATCACTTATATAAACGTCTGAATCCTAGTCATATCTGTGTGTGCTAAGCTTAGTCATGTCTGTGTCTTAGTTCTAGTCATGTAAGTGTTAATGCTAATCATGTCGGATGATTAATCCTAATCATGTCGGATGATAAATCCTAATAATGTCGAATGATTAATCCTAATCATGTCGAATGAATAATCCTAATCATGTCGAATGATTAATCCTAATCATGTCGAATGATTAATCCTAATCATGTCGAATGAATAATCCTAATCATATCGAATGATTAATCCTAATCATGTCGAATGATTAATCCTAATTATGTCGGATGATTAATCCCAATCATGTCCAATGATTAATCCTAATCACGTCGGATGATTAATCCTAATCATGTCGGATGATTAATCTTAATCATGTCGGATGATTAATTCTAATCATGTCAAATGATTAATCCTAATCATGCTGGATGATTAATCCTAATCATGCCGAATGAATAATCCTAATCATGTCGAATGATTAATCCTAATCATGCTGTATGATTAATCCTAATCATGTCGAATGATTAATCCTAATCACGTCGAATGATTAATCCTAATCACGTCGAATGAACAATCCTAATCATGTCGGATGATTAATCTTAATCATGTCGAATGAGTAATCCAATCATGTCGGATGATTAATCCTAATCATGTCGGATGATTAATCCTAATCATGTCGAATGATTAATCCTAATAATGTCGAATGAATAATCCTAATCATGTCGAAAGATTAATCCTAATCATGTCGAATGATTAATCCTAATAATGTCGAATTAGTAATCCTAATCATGTCGGATGATTAATCCTAATCATGTCGAATGATTAATCCTAATAATGTCGAATTAGTAATCCTAATCATGTCGGATGATTAATCCTAATCATGTCGGATGATTAATCCTAATCATGTCGAATGATTAATCCTAGTCATGTTTGCCTCTTTATCCTAGTGCTGTCTGTGTGTGTCTATCCAAGTGATGCCTCTATTAGTCCTGCTAACGTCATCATTATGAGTCATTGTCCATCGTTCTGTCACTAACTGTGGTTTTGACAACTTTATCTAAGCCATATCTATGTTAAACCACACAATTGTTTGATTTGGAATAAATCATATGTGGATCAGGTGTTTAGTTTCCTTTGTGTGTGTGTGAGAGAGAGAGAGAGAGAGAGAGAGAGAGAGAGAGAGAGAGAGAGAGAGAGAGAGAGAGAGAGAGAGAGAGAGAGAGAGAGAGAGAGAGAGAGAGACAGAGACAGAGACAGAGAGAGAGACAGAGACAGAGACAGAGACAGAGACAGAGACAGAGACAGAGAGAGAGAGAGAGAGAGAGAGAGAGAGAGAGAGAGAGAGAGAGAGAGAGAGGGGGGGGGGGAAGAATACGTATTTTCACTGACAATAAACTTCCAAAGAAAATATAGTAGACTACCACGTTCATACACAGTACACAATACACAGTACACAGTACACAATACACAGTACACAGTACACAGTACACAGTACACAGTACACAGTACACAATACACAGTACACAATACACAGTACACAGTACACAGTACACAGTACACAATACACAGTACACAGTACACAATACACAGTACACAGTACACAATACACAGTACACAATACACAGTACACAGTACACAATACACAGTACACAATACACACTACACAATACACAGTACACAATACACACTACACAATACACACTACACAATACACACTACACAATACACAGTACACAATACACACTACACAATACACACTACACAATACACACTACACAATACACACTACACAATACACACTACACACTACACAATACACAATACACAGTACACAGTACACATACACAGTACACAGTACACAATACACAGTACACAGTACACAGTACACAATACACAATACACAGTACACAATACACAGTACACAGTACACAGTACACAATACACAGTACACAATACACAATACACAATACACACTACACAATACACACTACACAATACACAATACACAATACACAGTACACAATACACAGTACACAGTACACAGTACACAATACACAGTACACAGTACACAGTACACAATACACAGTACACAGTACACAATACACAGTACACAGTACACAATACACAGTACACAGTACACAGTACACAATACACAATACACAATACACAGTACACAGTACACAGTACACAGTACACAGTACACAGTACACAATACACAGTACACAGTACACAGTACACAGTACACAATACACAGTACACACTACACAAGGACTTCATGTACAGGGGATGATTCACAGCCTCTTGGAACGATGTTTCGACTTTGTTGAGTAGTGGAGCTCCATAGGTGATTCCCAGGACATGGAATAGTTGTTCAAGCCATCCCAGAACATGGAACAGTTGCCCAAGCTATCCCAGAACATGGAACAGTCGCTTAAGCCATCCCAGAACATGGAACAGTTGCCCAAGCTATCCCAGAACATGGAACAGTCGCTCAAGCCCTCCCAGAACATGGAACAGTTGCCCAAGCTATCCCAGAACATGGAACAGTCGCTTAAGCCATCCCAGAACATGGAACAGTCGCTTAAGCCATCCCAGAACATGGAACAGTCGCTCAAGCCCTCCCAGAACATGGAACAGTTGCCCAAGCTATCCCAGAACATGGAACAGTCGCTTAAGCCATCCCAGAACATGGAACAGTCGCTCAAGCCCTCCCAGAACATGGAACAGTTGCCCAAGCCATCCCAGAACATGGAACAGTTGCTCAAGCCATCCCAGAACATGGAACAGTTGCCCAAGCCATCCCAGAACATGGAACAGTTGCCCAAGCCATCCCAGAACATGGAACAGTTGCTCAAGCCCTCCCAGAACATGGAACAGTTGCCCAAGCCATCCCATAACATGGAACAGTTGCTCAAGCCCTCCCAGAACATGGAACATTTGCCCAAGCCCTCCCAGAAAATGGAACAGTTGCCCAAGCCATCCCAGAACATGGAACAGTTGCTCAAGCCCTCCCAGAACATGGAACAGTTGCCCAAGCCATCCCATAACATGGAACAGTTGCTCAAGCCCTCCCAGAACATGGAACAGTTGCCCAAGCTATCCCAGAACATGGAACAGTTGCTCAAGCCATCCCAGAACATGGAACAGTTGCCCAAGCCATCCCAGAACATGGAACAGTTGCCCAAGCCATCCCAGAACATGGAACAGTTGCCCAAGCCATCCCAGAACATGGAACAGTCGCTCAAGCTATCCCAGAACACGGAACAGTTGCTCAAGCCATCCCAGAACATGGAACAGTTGCCCAAGCCATCCCAGAACATGGAACAGTTGCCCAAGCCATCCCTGAACATGGAACAGTTGCTCAAGCCATCCCAGAACATGGAACAGTTGCCCAAGCCATCCCAGAACATGGAACAGTTGCCCAAGCCATCCCTGAACATGGAACAGTTGCCCAAGCCATCCCAGAACATGGAACAGTTGCCCAAGCCATCCCTGAACATGGAACAGTTGCCCAAGCCATCCCAGAACATGGAACAGTTGCCCAAGCCATCCCAGAACATGGAACAGTTGCCCAAGCCATCCCTGAACATGGAACAGTTGCCCAAGCCATCCCAGAACATGGAACAGTTGCCCAAGCCATCCCAGAACATGGAACAGTTGTCCAAGCCATCCCTGAACATGGAACAGTCGCTCAAGCTATCCCAGAACACGGAACAGTTGCTCAAGCCATCCCAGAACATGGAACAGTTGCCCAAGCCATCCCAGAACATGGAACAGTTGCCCAAGCCATCCCTGAACATGGAACAGTTGCCCAAGCCATCCCAGAACATGGAACAGTTGCCCAAGCCATCCCAGAACATGGAACAGTTGTCCAAGCCATCCCTGAACATGGAACAGTTGTCCAAGCCATCCCTGAACATGGAACAGTTGTCCAAGCCATCCCTGAACATGGAACAGTTGTCCAAGCCATCCCTGAACATGGAACAGTTGCCCAAGCCATCCCTGAACATGGAACAGTTGTCCAAGCCATCCCTGAACATGGAACAGTTGCCCAAGCCATCCAAGAACATGGACAGTTGCCCAAGCCATCCCTGAACATGGAACAGTTGCCCAAGCCATCCCTGAACATGGAACAGTTGTCCAAGCCATCCCAGAACATGGAACAGTTGCTCAAGCCCTCCCAGAACATGGAACAGTTGCTCAAGCCATCCCAGAACATGGAACAGTTGCCCAAGCCATCCCAGAACATGGAACAGTTGCCCAAGCCATCCCTGAACATGGAACAGTTGCCCAAGCCATCCCAGAACATGGAACAGTTGCCCAAGCCATCCCAGAACATGGAACAGTTGACCAAGACATCCAAGAACATGGAACAGTTGTCCAAGCCATCCCTGAACATGGAACAGTTGTCCAAGCCATCCCTGAACATGGAACAGTTGTCCAAGCCATCCCTGAACATGGAACAGTTGCCCAAGCCATCCCTGAACATGGAACAGTTGTCCAAGCCATCCCTGAACATGGAACAGTTGCCCAAGCCATCCCAGAACATGGGACAGTTGCCCAAGCCATCCCTGAACATGGAACAGTTGCCCAAGCCATCCCAGAACATGGAACAGTTGCCCAAGCCATCCCAGAACATGGAACAGTTGCTCAAGCCCTCCCAGAACATGGAACAGTTGCCCAAGCCATCCCAGAACATGGGACAGTTGTCCAATGACCAGAACGCGAGTTTCTTTCAGTGTTCCAGATACTCTCTCACGAGGTGAGACACACCTTCCGGTGCTATAACTGCCCCGTGAACACAATAGTCAAGAACAACGCCCAGTTCAGTGCTGAACCATCCTTGTCAGCGTTCATTCCACGCTGAATTCAAGCTGATAACGTTAATCAACGTCCAGCCAACGCTCTCTTGGATACTATGTCCGTTGTCTTCAAGTCTCTTCAGGATACGTGAGATCTCAGATAAACCTTTTCGGGGTTTTCGAGTCAAATCCCCCTGGAAGGCTCAAGAATGTGGACTCGTCCACCTAGACTGTTACTTGCAGGGTCGGCGCTCGATCCCTGAGGGTCCAAGGAGGAAGGGTTAGGGAATTATCAGGAAAAAAAAACACCAAGACTATATATAGCACTTGGAAGGCATCAGGATACGGATTTGGGATGATATGGGGTGGGGGAGAGAAGGGCAGGAATGGTACCCAACCACTTGGACGGTCGGGGATTGAACGCCGACCTGCATGAAGCGAGACCCTCTCGCTTCAAGCGAGTGTCTTCGGTCCAAGGGTCTTGGGAATCCTTGCTTCACCTTTCTCATTATATCACAGATATAATGAGTACCCAACCACTTGGGCTGGACGGTAGAGGGACGGTCTCGCTTCATGCAGGTCAGCGTTCAATCCCCCACCGTCCAAGTGGATGGGCACTGTCCCCCCCCCCTCCCCACCGTCCTATCCCTAATCCTTATCCTGACCTCTTCCAAGTGCTATATAGTCGAATGGCTCGGTGCTTTCCCCCCTGATAGTTCCCTTCCCTTTCTCCTCATAACTACGTCATAAAGAAAGCAGGAAGGAGTTACTCACCACTTCCAAGGCGTCAGCGATCTTGGTGAGGTGGTCTCGGTTGAGGTTGTGAAGGAGAGGAACACTGGAGAGGAAGTGAATGTTGTCTTCCAGACGCTTGAGTCCAGACCGCATCATCACCTGCTGGAACACTCGTCTGTCCAGCACCCACACCTTGGCCGCCGTCACCGCTGGAAACATGCAAGGTGGGCATTAGTCGACGGTCGCTGGTGGTGGAGGCTGAGGTTACTGGAAGGTGGAGGCTGAGGTTACTGGAAGGTGGAGGCTGAGGTTACTGGAATGTGGAGGCTGAGGTTACTGGAAGGTGGAGGCTGAGGTTACTGGAAGGTGGAGGCTGAGGTTACTGGAATGTGGAGGCTGAGGTTACTGGAAGGTGGAGGCTGAGGTTACTGGAAGGTGGAGGCTGAGGTTACTGGAAGGTGGAGGCTGAGGTTACTGGAAGGTGGAGGCTGAGGTTACTGGAAGGTGGAGGCTGAGGTTACTGGAAGGTGGAGGCTGAGGTTACTGGAATGTGGAGGCTGAGGTTACTGGAAGGTGGAGGCTGAGGTTACTGGAAGGTGGAGGCTGAGGTTACTGGAATGTGGAGGCTGAGGTTACTGGAAGGTGGAGGCTGAGGTTACTGGAATGTGGAGGCTGAGGTTACTGGAAGGTGGAGGCTGAGGTTACTGGAAGGTGGAGGCTGAGGTTACTGGAAGGTGGAGGCTGAGGTTACTGGAAGGTGGAGGCTGAGGTTACTGGTGGTGGAGGCTGAGGTTACTGGAAGGTGGAGGCTGAGGTTACTGGAATGTGGAGGCTGAGGTTACTGGAAGGTGGAGGCTGAGGTTACTGGAAGGTGGAGGCTGAGGTTACTGGAAGGTGGAGGCTGAGGTTACTGGAAGGTGGAGGCTGAGGTTACTGGAAGGTGGAGGCTGAGGTTACTGGAAGGTGGAGGCTGAGGTTACTGGAAGGTGGAGGCTGAGGTTACTGGAAGGTGGAGGCTGAGGTTACTGGAAGGTGGAGGCTGAGGTTACTGGAAGGTGGAGGCTGAGGTTACTGGAAGGTGGAGGCTGAGGTTACTGGAAGGTGGAGGCTGAGGTTACTGGAAGGTGGAGGCTGAGGTTACTGGAAGGTGGAGGCTGAGGTTACTGGAAGGTGGAGGCTGAGGTTACTGGAAGTGGAGGCTGAGGTTACTGGAAGGTGGAGGCTGAGGTTACTGGAAGGTGGAGGCTGAGGTTACTGGAAGGTGGAGGCTGAGGTTACTGGAAGGTGGAGGCTGAGGTTACTGGAAGGTGGAGGCTGAGGTTACTGGAAGGTGGAGGCTGAGGTTACTGGTGGTGGAGGCTGAGGTTACTGGAAGGTGGAGGCTGAGGTTACTGGAAGGTGGAGGCTGAGGTTACTGGAAGGTGGAGGCTGAGGTTACTGGTGGTGGAGGCTGAGGTTACTGGAAGGTGGAGGCTGAGGTTACTGGAAGGTGGAGGCTGAGGTTACTGGAAGGTGGAGGCTGAGGTTACTGGAAGGTGGAGGCTGAGGTTACTGGAAGGTGGAGGCTGAGGTTACTGGAAGGTGGAGGCTGAGGTTACTGGAAGGTGGAGGCTGAGGTTACTGGAATGTGGAGGCTGAGGTTACTGGAAGGTGGAGGCTGAGGTTACTGGAATGTGGAGGCTGAGGTTACTGGAAGGTGGAGGCTGAGGTTACTGGAAGGTGGAGGCTGAGGTTACTGGAAGGTGGAGGCTGAGGTTACTGGAATGTGGAGGCTGAGGTTACTGGAAGGTGGAGGCTGAGGTTACTGGTGGTGGAGGCTGAGGTTACTGGAAGGTGGAGGCTGAGGTTACTGGTGGTGGAGGCTGAGGTTACTGGAAGGTGGAGGCTGAGGTTACTGGAAGGTGGAGGCTGAGGTTACTGGAATGTGGAGGCTGAGGTTACTGGAAGGTGGAGGCTGAGGTTACTGGAAGGTGGAGGCTGAGGTTACTGGAAGGTGGAGGCTGAGGTTACTGGAAGGTGGAGGCTGAGGTTACTGGAAGGTGGAGGCTGAGGTTACTGGAATGTGGAGGCTGAGGTTACTGGAAGGTGGAGGCTGAGGTTACTGGAGGTGGAGGCTGAGGTTACTGGAAGGTGGAGGCTGAGGTTACTGGAAGGTGGAGGCTGAGGTTACTGGAATGTGGAGGCTGAGGTTACTGGAATGTGGAGGCTGAGGTTACTGGAAGGTGGAGGCTGAGGTTACTGGAAGGTGGAGGCTGAGGTTACTGGAAGGTGGAGGCTGAGGTTACTGGAATGTGGAGGCTGAGGTTACTGGAAGGTGGAGGCTGAGGTTACTGGAAGGTGGACACGCAAGAGAAGCAGAACAGCCAATGTTCTAGATCTGCTGCTAGCAGAACACTGGTTCTAGACCTGCTACTTCTAAGAGAACAGTTTACTGCTGATTTGCTGTGCAATATCACTGATCTATTACTTGGAAGATATATATTAATATTACAAAAGGCTGCAGGACATGCCTACTGGAAGACTGTTGTAAGTGTTGCAGGAATGTTGCTACACTATGCATGGATCAGTGTGTTGCTGGAGGAGGTGGCCCGTGGCCCGCAGTAATGGCCACAATGATACCACATCCACCACAAAATCTTACCAACAATACTAAACCAAAAGTGGACTTAAAGACAAACTTACAGACACACTACTGCAAGAAGTGCCGGACCAACTGTGTTGTTGTGGGTGTGTGGGCCTGCGGGCCGCTCCAAGCAACAGCCTGGTGGACCAAACTCTCACAAGTCAAGCCTGGCCTCGGGCCGGGCTTGGGCAGTAGAACAACTCCCAGAACCCCATCAACCAGGTATATGTGGGCCTGCGGGCCGCTCCAAGCAACAGCCTGGTGGACCAAACTCTCACAAGTCAAGCCTGGCCTCGGGCCGGGCTTGGGCAGTAGAAGAGCTCCCAGAACCCCATCAACCAGGTATATGTGGGCCTGCGGGCCGCTCCAAGCAACAGCCTGGTGGACCAAACTCTCCCAGAACCCCATCAAGCAGGTATATTCCAGACCTGAAGAGCTAAACAAGGGGTCAGGTTGTGTTCCTGTTGTTCCTGTAAAGTTGATCATGGTCGGCAGGTAACGTACCTACTCACACACACAGAGATCACACTAACGTGATGCATCAAATGAACAACCCTGTCGTAGCTCAGTCGATTAAGGCAGTGTCTGGGATGCTCCCGGACGCAGGTTCGAATCCTCGTCACGGCCCTTGTGGATTTGTTCAACGTACTAGGGTGACCAAGGAGCTAGATCACCACCTCCCCACACTACGGGAACCCGCGGAAATAATTAATTGCCAATTTATCACAGGGAATGAAAGACTTAACCCTCTACCAACATATTATTTTACCAATTAGTAGTCAAGATAAGAACAAAATAGCTTCTGAATACTCTAAATTAACCTTTTGTTTTGAGGTTGAGAGTTGGGCTGGACGGTAGAGCAACGGTCTCGCGTCATGCAGGTCGGCGTTCAATCCCCCGACCGTCCACAAGTGGTTGGGGCACCATTCCTTTCCCTCCGTCCCATTCCAAATCCTTATCCTGACCCCTTCTCAACATTGTTCTTGAATTATTGAACCAATTACCGCGTGACATAATAGACCTGGGAACCCTGGGTTGTTTCAAGTGTAGGTTAGGCATATATATGAGTTTGGGGGATATAAATAGTAGCTGCCTCGTATGGACCAATAGCAGCTGCCTCGTATGGACCAATAGCAGCTGCCTCGTATGGACCAATAGCAGTTGCCTCGTATGGACCAATAGCAGCTGCCTCGTATGGACCAATAGCAGCTGCCTCGTATGGACCAATAGCAGCAGCCTCGTATGGACCAATAGCAGCAGCCTCGTATGGACCAATAGCAGCTGCCTCGTATGGACCAATAGGCGCTGCCTCGTATGGACCAATAGCAGCTGCCTCGTATGGACCAATAGCAGCAGCCTCGTATGGACCAATAGGAGCTGCCTCGTATGGACCAATAGCAGCTGCCTCGTATGGACCAATAGGAGCTGCCTCGTATGGACCAATAGGAGCTGCCTCGTATGGACCAATAGCAGCTGCCTCGTATGGACCAATAGGAGCTGCCTCGTATGGACCAATAGGAGCTGCCTCGTATGGACCAATAGCAGCTGCCTCGTATGGACCAATAGGAGCTGCCTCGTATAGACCAATAGCAGCTGCCTCGTATGGACCAATAGCAGCAGCCTCGTATGGACCAATAGGAGCTGCCTCGTATGGACCAATAGGAGCTGCCTCGTATGGACCAATAGGAGCTGCCTCGTATGGACCAATAGGAGCTGCCTCGTATGGACCAATAGGAGCTGCCTCGTATTGACCAATAGCAGCTGCCTCGTATGGACCAATAGCAGCAGCCTCGTATGGACCAATAGCAGCAGCCTCGTATGGACCAATAGCAGCTGCCTCGTATGGACCAATAGGAGCTGCCTCGTATGGACCAATAGCAGCTGCCTCGTATGGACCAATAGCAGCTGCCTCGTATGGACCAATAGCAGCTGCCTCGTATGGACCAATAGCAGCTGCCTCGTATGGACCAAAAGGTCTTGTGCTAATTCCTGTTAGCTAACAGTGCACACAAAGGAATGAGAGAACAGGGGCCGCCATGTTAGAGGACGGAGAAGATCTTACCTTTAATACTCGCGGTCCTGGTGCAGTTGTAGAGGATGGCCAGCTCCCCGAAGGCTTTGCCTGAAGACATCCTGCCCAGGATGTCCCCATCCTTCACCACCTCCAACTCCCCCATGGCCGACACGTACAGGTGGGACCCTGCCGACGACAAGCGAAAATCATTTCTTGGAATATGTCACATATGTACTTATTTATTAGTGAAATAGTGACTATATGCAATAAGTCATATATGTGCTTGTGTGAGAGGGTTGCAACCAACACATACCATGATCCGTAAGTCTGTGTGTCCTCCCCTCGACACGGGTCCGGGTTCGAGGCTTTGTGTTTGAGTAATATATATGTGAAAGAAGGGGTGAGTAAATATGGTTGCGTGCAGAGTAGTCTACGTTATGGGCTCACAACCGAGGGACCCGGGCTCAATCCCCCGTGGGGGGGGGGATGTGTTGGGTGGGTTGCTTTTCACTTGATGCATCTGTTCACTTCTGTTCTTAAGTTCTTGTGTGTGGTTGAGAGAGAAGAGAGAGAGAGAGAGAGAGAGAGAGAGAGAGAGAGAGAGAGAGAGAGAGAGAGAGAGAGAGAGAGAGAGAGAGAGAGAGAGAGAGAGAGAGAGAGAGAGAGACAGACAGAGACAGACAGAGAGAGAGAGAGAGAGAGAGAGAGACAGAGAGACAGAGAGAGAGAGAGAGAGAGAGAGAGAGAGAGAGAGAGAGAGAGAGAGAGAGAGAGAGAGAGAGAGAGAGAGAGAGAGAGAGAGAGAGAGAGAGAGAGAGAGAGAGAGAGAGAGAGAGAGAGACAGACAGAGAGAGAGACAGACAGAGAGAGAGACAGAGAGAGAGACAGAGAGAGAGACAGAGAGAGAGAGAGAGAGAGACAGAGACAGAGACAGAGACAGAGACAGACCCTCTCTAAAAGGCCGTATTTCTAACATAGTGGCCACTAAAGAGACCATAATACAAGGCGTAACTAACCTGCATCTCCCTCTCTGATGACCCAAGTATTGGCGCCAAACTCCTGCGGGTACATAGAGTCGACAATCTCGCGCACTTGACTGGAGTCCAGGTGCTTAAGGAAGTCGTTATCCATGATAGCATCCTTGATCAGCTGTTTCGATCTGAAGGTAAACAAAGCCATTCAGATTATTAAAGCAGCACGACAATAATATTATGAGGTTACCCCATCCACCAGTGAGGCTACCTACCAGGGGGACTACCTACCAGGGGGACTACCTACCAGTGTGGCTACCTACCAGGGGGACTACCTACCAGTGTGACTACCTACCAGTGTGACTACCTACCAGTGTGACTACCTACCAGTGTGACTACCTACCAGTGTGGACTACCTACCAGGGGGACTACCTACCAGTGTGACTACCTACCAGGGGGACTACCTACCAGTGTGACTACCTACCAGGGGGACTACCTACCAGTGTGGACTACCTACCAGGGGAACTACCTACCAGGGGGCTACCTACCAGGGGGACTACCTACCAGGGGGACTACCTACCAGGGGACTACCTACCAGGGGACTACCTACCAGGGTGACTACCTACCAGGGGGACTACCTACCAGGGGGACTACCTACCAGGGGGCTACCTACCAGGGGGACTACCTACCAGGGAGACTACCTACCAGGGGGACTACCTACCAGGGGGACTACCTACCAGTGTGGCTACCCTACCAGGAGCACTATTACCCTGGACTACCTACCAGGGGGACTACCCTACCAGGGGGGACTACTACTACCTACCCTACCAGGGGGACTACCTACCAGGGGGACTACCTACCAGGGGGACTACCTACCAGGGGGACTACCTACCAGGGGTACCCTACTATTAACCTACCAGGGGCACTATTACTCTGACTACCTACCAGGGGCACTTTTACCTACCAGGGGGACTACCTACCAGGGGGACTACCTACCAGGGGCACTGTGACTACCTACCAGGGGGACTACCTACCAGGGGGACTACCTACCAGGGGCACTATTACTCTGACTACCTACCAGGGGGACTACCTACCAGGGGGACTACCTACCAGGGGGACTACCTACCAGGGGGACTACCTACCAGTGTGACTACCTACCAGTGTGGCTACCTACCAGGGGGGACTACCTACCAGGGGGACTCACCCCCTGACGTACTCACCCTATCTTACTAATTCTCTGGATCGTGGTAAATTCTTGGTCATATATTCGGCTTAACCTTTTGGGCTCTTCTGCTATTGTGCGAGTACTGTGTGTGTGTGTGTACTCACCTAGTGTGAGTACACACACACGGTTACGGGGGGTTGAGCTCTGGCTCTTTGGTCCCGCCTCTCAACCGTCAATCAACTGATGTACAGGTTCCTGAGCCTATTGGGCTCCAAAGGAGACAGAAAGATGTACCTGTGTTGGAGCGGGTGTGTAGGAAGAGAATGCTATGCCAACCGCACATCTCAACAGCCTGAGAGATCACAAGGCCCTGCACCTATTTGATCTGGGTTTAACCCATGCCCCAATGAGGATCAACTAGGCACCGATCCTGATTGATGGGGTTCTGGTGTCTAGTTTCTTCTGCTGCTCTACATAACCGGAGCACCTCGTATCCGGTATGTGAAACTATTTAAATAAGACTAACAATCATTTAAACTAACCCTCCAGTAGCATTAACCCTTAGTATAAATGTCCCTGTCAATCTATAATTCTCGATTGATAGACTGCTATAATTATATACCCCCTCCCCCCCTCAAACAATAAACTTGTGTTGGGACATGACTTGTGGGATAATTTAATTCCATACAGTCCACTCAGCTATCGGAATAATACATATGTACTATGCAATTTCCAGGAAGATTGTATTACATGCACAAAAGGTTCTCATACAACAAGTCTTGTATGACCGGCCTAATCTATCAACACTTAATACATTTCCAGCAAGTCCAGGATTTTACAGCGCTTCCAGATAATTCTACATGGAAGCTTCCAGAAACACAGACTGGATTAGAAGCTTCCAGAAACACAGACTGGATTAGAAGCTTCCAGAAACACAGACAGGATTAGAAGCTTCCAGAAACACAGACTGGATCAGAAGCTTCCAGAAACACAGACAGGATCAAAAGCTTCCAGAAACACAGACTGGATCAGAAGCTTCCAGAAACACAGACTGGATCAGAAGCTTCCAGAAACACAGACAGGATCAGAAGCTTCCAGAAACACAGACTGGATTAGAAGCTTCCAGAAACACAGACTGGATTAGAAGCTTCCAGAAACACAGACAGGATCAGAATCTTCCAGAAACACAGACAGGATCACAAGCTTCCAGAAACACAGACAGGATCACAAGCTTCCAGAAACACAGACAGGATCACAAGCTTCCAGAAACACAGACAGGATCACAAGCTTCCAGAAACACAGACAGGATCAGAAGCTTCCAGAAACACAGACAGGATCAGAAGCTTCCAGAAACACAGACAGGACCAGAAGCTTCCAGAAACACAGACAGGACCAGAAGCTTCCAGAAACACAGACTGGATCAGAAGCTTCCAGAAACACAGACAGGCTCAGATACTTCCAGAAACACAGACAGGATCGGAAGCTTCCAGAAACACAGACAGGCTCAGATACTCCCAGAAACACAGACAGGATCGGAAGCTTCCAGAAACACAGACAGGATCGGAAGCTTCCAGAAACACAGACAGGATCGGAAGCTTCCAGAAACACAGACAGGATCGGATGCCAACTTGAGAGGACGACAAAATCGCATCAGTTCCAAGGGGGATCGAAGCCTCTTATGGATGTTTCTAGAATATCGTGTAGACAAGCACCCACGGAGCCACTGTAGCCGTCAAAGGCAGCCCATTACTTGTTCAAACGAGGCTAATTCCGCCCTATTGATCTAGCAGTAACGACCGCAATATCAAGGACCTTCCAAGAGGTTAACGAGCTTAGGATAATCACTGGAGCAGGAGAGGGGAATCGAACCAGCGTCCTAGGGTAGTTCCAGGACGATAGTTCGATCCCACTGCCCTGCTCCGAAGATGTTGTTGTGGTTGATGTATCAGGCTGTTGGGATCTTCATCTCCTCCTCCTGCCTCTAAATTATACATACAAACAATGTCTGACACAATTCTTATCAATAATTAGGTTTTACCAGCTTGGAGGTGAGAGCCGCTTTGGTAAGTTCCCGCTCTTATGTCAAGCTCTCTTTAAGGAGAAGTTTAGCGAGCTAGTGAACGCTGCCCAGCGCACATACAGCGCACGCACACACAGCGCACGCACACACAGCGCACGCACGCACGCACACACAGCGCTATACTGTTTCTGATATATGTAAATGATCTCCCAGAGGGTATAGAATCGTTTCTCTCAATGTTTGCCGATGATCCAAAAATTATGAGGAGGATTGAAACTGAGGACGATAGTAGGAGGCTACAAGATGACCTAGACAGACTGAGTGAATGGTCCAACAAATGGCTGTTGAAGTTCAACCCGAGTAAATGCAAAGTAATGAAACTAGGCAGTGGAAATAGGAGGCCAAACACAGGATACAGAATAGGAGATGAAGGAGATGAAGATGAATAGGAGATGAGATGAAGAACACACCGACCAGTGAACACACTGACCAGCGAACACACTGACCAGCGAACACACTCACCAGTGAACACACTGACCAGCGAACACACTGACCAGCGAACACACTGACCAGCGAACACACTGACCAGCGAACACACTGACCAGCGAACACACTGACCAGCGAACACACTGACCAGCGAACACACTGACCAGCGAACACACTGACCAGCGAACACACTGACCAGCGAACACACTGACCAGCGAACAAACCTCACCAGCGCACACTTAAATCCAATTAGGTTGATGTAAGCATATTCTAGCATATTTTCTCTACTGGGTTAAACACTGTTTTCCCCCGAGGGGGGGGGGTGAGGGAGAGGAGGGAGGGGGAAGACCTGGAGGTCAACACGAGGTTATTAAGGTCACCGGTCATTAGCGTGTTCAGAAGACAACCTCCTCCTCCTCCTCCTCGGCGCACGCTAAGTGTTCCAGTGTTAACGTTGCGCGTAAAACTATCACACTGAAAAAACCTGAAACAAAAACGCATCGGGAATTTTGTTGAAAGTTAAATTTATATGTTAAAACATTTATGAAAATGATAGGTAGGTGCTGCCTACCTTGCACACGCGCACGCGCACACACACACACAGCCACACACACACACAGCCACACACAGCCACACACACACACAGCCACACACACACACAGCCACACACACACAGCCACAGACACACACACACACAGCCACACACAGCCACACACACACACAGCCACACACACACACAGCCACACACACACACAGCCACACACAGCCACACACACACACACACCCACACACACACACAGCCACACACACACACAGCCACACACACACACAGCCACACACACACACAGCCACACACACACAGCCACACACAGCCACACACACACACAGCCACACACACACACAGCCACACACAGCCACACACAGCCACACACACACACACCCCACACACACACAGCCACACACACACACCCACACACACACACACCCCCCCACTCACACAATACATGTACCATCCCAGACAATGGCCCCGCGCTGCCCCACTACACAGACATCTTACTACATCGCATTTTGTACGCAACAGACCGATCCATTAAACCCCTCATGTTAGGTAGACATTAAGACACCATAATGTTAACACTGTCTATCCATCATCCTGGATAGGTTAGGTGGGTTGCTCGGACGTTCCTGGCTAGGTTAAACAGCTGTATTTTGGACGGAGTTGCAAGTGGATAGATCGAGGCGGATAGATGATGTATTACTGAATACAATACAATACTTTATTAATACTTTGGAATACTTTCTTGATGGTGGGAACATTGATGGTACACACTTTGTGGTGGAGTGTGTCTTCCCTACCACCTGTGGTGGTGTGGTGGTGGTGTGGTGTGGTGGGGTGGTGGTGTGGGTGTGTGGTGGTGTGGTGGTGGTGTGGGTGGTGGTGTGGTGGTGGTGGTGTGGTGGTGGGTGGTGGTGTGGTGGTGGTGTGTGGTGGTGTGGTGGGGTGTGGTGGTGTGGTG